CTGGAAGCCTGCTTCAGTCTTAGCTAAGTGCATGCTGGGATAAAACCCCATACACACACATGCCATTTGCACGTCAGAAAAAGCACGCTAAGATTGTGTCATCTTAGAGGGGCAATGGCACACGAGCCTAAGGCACCTGGAGACCCCACCAGAAAGGATCAGAAGGAACTGAAGGCTGAACCTCTTCCAACCACGGTCTTGATGCAGAGCTCGAGTAATACTCAGGCTGTTGTAACAGGAGAAGGCTGGTTTGCTTCCCTGTAACTCAGCTTTTCTAAATATAAATACTTCCCATAAATTAGCATTCGATCGATAATCCAGACTGTATCTAGCACTTTGTTTTCCTGTTTTGCTGGGACACAATCTTTTTCAATAGGAAGAAAGGATTCTGCAAGGAAAACCCCCACTGTCAGTTCAAATCTTATTTTTAAGCATATGTTTCTCTCTAGAAATTAGCGTAATTCAGCTTGACCAAACAACCAGCAAGAATTTTTCTTTTAATTGTTTTTAAGTCAGATCGATAGGACAAAGTACATCATTATGCTTCTAGGAGGACTATTGCTAATTTTCCCATAATCAATCAAAACCACACAGCGAGGGCCTGCTGTAAGAACTGCAACTCCCCTCTTGATAAGCCACTGGAAATGTAACTCAACCTGTCCCACTCCTTTGATGCAGAGACAAGGCTCTTTTTTCATCCGCTGACCTTTTCTGATCAATGCTACCCATTTTTCTGTTTTACCCCGGAGCGCACGCCGTCACGTAAAATTCATTTTTGCAAGGGAAAAAACGAAATCAAGGGAAGAAAACCAGGAAACGGCACAGCCAGACGTAGGACCTGACGAACTACGGCAGGACAAAGAACACTGAGGTTTGGGGTTTTTTGAAATACACAAAACTTTAACAAAATCACTGGGCTAAAACTGAGTGCTAAGAACTAGACGCCAGATGTCGACTACGCATTACGAAGTCTTGCGGAGTTGACAGAGGATGACAATGCATCACGCAATGTATACCGGTCCTTATTTTATCAATTCCATTTTATTTACAACACTTCATAACACATCAGCAGACACAGCGTGTTCTGTGAAGCTCACAAAGGTGCGGTAACCCCTCACTACAGCGCTGGGCAGCTAACCCTCCCCAGGGACAGGAAAGCCAGCCACGTGTGTGCTCGTCACAAAGCAGGAGCCCTGCTCGAGTGCCGGCATACAGCAACAACGCGCGCATCCCTGCTGCGGGCAGGGCTCACGACGAGAGAACGATATTGTTCTCGCCAACGGAGAGCCGTGACTTGCAGCTTGGCCTGGGAGGCTGGAGGAACAGAGAACGCCGCGAGGCCAAGCAAGTGCTCTTACTTTGGAAATGCTGGCAACAGCTAGTCAGAAGAAGCCGTACCATTTATTGATTTTTATTTTTTTTTTATGTCTTTCCAGGCCATAAAGCTCTCTCTCCCACGCACTGCAAGAGAAATTCAAAGGGAGAAAAAAAAAAAAAAAAAAAAAAGAGGGGGGGGGGGAAGCACACAGTTCAGACAACCCAGTTCAGACAACTCGTGTGAGGAGACCAAAGCAGCAAAAGCAAACTGGTCAGTTCGGATCACTTGCAAAATGGAAGGAAAATAAGTAGCACCATAGTTGAATGTGAACCAGCTAAGAATGTTTCTAGCCACCTGCCCGTCATCAGCTTTACTTTGCAAAGAGTTTTCACTGGAAAGGAAATAATCTGAAAGACGGGTAAGTTTTTTGTTTATGAATATTTAGGGTGTGCTGCTGGGACACTGTCTGAGCTTGCGTTGCTTTACCTTTTAAGTGAGTACAAAACTATTTCAAAGCCTGATAGGCTGCTCTTCGCGCCAGGTTTTTTCACCAAGTACTGTCAGATGCTGTAAATGAGCTTCCCAACCCAAATTCAAAGCAGCTGTTACCACAATCTCCCTCCATAATGGCTGAACAAACAGTATATCCCTTAAAACTTTTCAGATTCAAGAACAGAAGAGCTCAGCTGTTTTGCTATGACTGTAAGGCAGCCTGTCTCCACGAAACAGCAGACGCTTCTCCGATGTTCAAGGAGTTCAGCGCTCAACCTTAAAGAATCTTGAAACGGAGCCTGCCAAAGGACGGTGATTCCATTACTACGGCAGAATTTTTTTGCTCTTGAAATCTCTCTTGAGATCTTTACTGCGAAGACAAGATCTACTCTGAAAGAACCTAAAGTTGCCCTGATCTAAAAACCAAACACAAGACTTTCCCCCTCACATCTAGAAACACACACAAGAAAATTATCTTTAGAGTTCACGTGAGCCGCAAACAAATAAAACCATTTGCTCCTTAATTGGTGCAAAAATTGCATTTTGATTCTCCACTTCAGAGGAACAGTCAAGCCCCAAAGACGTGACTACCTAGGTCAGGTAACCTGCAGTGCTGACAAACTGAAAAACCTTCTTTTTATGCTAAGTGAAACTACAAAGTTAACCAGCACCTGATAATTTATCGTCTGTTTTCTCACAATCTGGCTTCAGGATGGTTTTCATCACAGCTTTAAAGTAGCTACTTTCAATAAATACATTCCAAATGTACACGAATTCCAACTGAAAACTCAATCTGGCCCTTGATGTGCCTTGGAGTACCTGTACGGAGGTACCTGGGAGGCTTGAGGAAGCCTCATACAAAAACACAACTACAACACATCTTACTCAACCCTGTTTTCTGGAGCACATACAAGGCAAAGAGAAGCAACACCAACTCCCTTTTTCCTCCACATATGCAGTTCGGAAGGAAAACTGCAGGTTCCCCACTCGCTCTTACTGGGCTCCATGACAGAATATTCCACGGACACGTAACTGTGTGGCATTTGCAGACAGCAATTGCATCAGAGAGCTCTGTCTTCCCTGTGACTTCAAACACGTTGCTTTGCAAAGCCTCTAACAGACAATAATGTGATGCTGATACAGTCTCCACCTTCAGAATGACAAATAACTGTGAAGGGAAAAAACTTCTCAGATCCATATTCTCTGTACAGATATACTTTGATCACTATTTGATTAAGCTGAAAAACATGTCGTCCCCCCTCAGAAAAGTTTTATGAAGCACAGATTACATCAGCATCTTCCTAGGTACATTTCATTTTGTAGTCTAATAAAGCTCCAAGTAAGAAACCCCTGTACAAAGCCTACCTGAGCTCAGGGGAAAACAGACTGATGTCCAAGTCTTTCTATTCTCAATCTGTACTCCTTGTCCTAACTACCTTGGAAATGACCCAAACTGGGCATTTAGTTTTCAAATTTACCATAAGCAACTTTGTAAGATATGAAAATATAAAGGTAAATCGCTTGCTTCCAAAAAAATATGCTGGGCATTTCTGTGCTCTCCCTACAGCTATCTCGTATTGATCCTTGTTTTATTAAAAGACGTGAAGTCAGGCGGTACGCTCGGAGAGCGCTGCCATATATTCCAGCATGATTTAAGATGTGCTTCCACACAAAGTCCAGAAAACAGCTCACACACCAAATGTTATGTGCTCAGCATGGATCCTTTCCCTAACTTTTCTACTTCAATAAGTTTGGGGTTTTTTAACAAAATTTAAAAAAAACAATTTTGGCTGGAACATCCAGGCTTCTCCTCAAGTCTTCTAGAAGGACCAAAACATATTTGAACTTCAGGTAAGTGGGTGAAAGGCATCTTGTTTGTAACTTATCAGACATACTGCAAATATCTCAGGGGGTCTGTTTACACTGAATGCTATTGATTGCTGAAAACATCCACAAAAAGAAGAGAGAAATATCCCACATGGGTTTAGTAAAAGAAGGAAAGTATCCCTTAAAATGAGAGGAAAACTCCACTCCTGAAGTCCCCAGCAGTCTAAGGGATGTCCTGCAAATAATAAAAAACAAACCCATGCAAATAGCTAATCCTGAATATTTACATAATCAAATAGCTAATCCCGAATATTTACATAATCAGTGCACTAACCATTGACATGTAGGTAAGGATATCTGAGAGATTAAGTAACTAGTGTCATCAAGCCATAAAACCAGGGAGGTAATTGTGAGGTACCTCCACAAACGTGGTGCAGGGTGCTACTCTAGAAACTCCCATTTAGCTTTTCAGTGGGAATCCACCAAAGGGACATTCCTGAAAATCCCGAATATTTACATAATCAGTGCACTAACCATTGACATGTAGGTAAGGATATCTGAGAGATTAAGTAACTAGTGTCATCAAGCCATAAAACCAGGGAGGTAATTGTGAGGTACCTCCACAAACGTGGTGCAGGGTGCTACTCTAGAAACTCCCATTTAGCTTTTCAGTGGGAATCCACCAAAGGGACATTCCTGAAGTGACACACCAGTGTCTTCCATTTGAAACAATCGCATAAACAGGGAAGAGAAACATCACAGTAAATGCTGCAGGAGATCGAGATGTATAAAGCAGAGGTAATTACATAGAAATCTGTAAAAACAAGATTAACAATCCAAGTCATTTCAAGCAGAAATTAGGTTGGCAGGAGGAGGTTTAGAAAGGCCGTCCTTCACCCACAGCAAGTGCTCCTGCTGA